CTTGTCATATTGTTAATGCCATGGTTGGTAAGAACTGTAACATGCTCTTCATCACTTTTCAGTGAAGAAGCAAAGACTTATTTGTGGACTTTGTCTTCACTACTGAACTTGTTAGGCCACTTCTTTTTTTCATAGCTTTTGCATATTCACACAGGACATGTCTTGTGACACTCCATCTGACAAGGGCATGCTTCTTTCTTGTCAGTCCTACAATCCCGCTGCTGCCCTTTGAGTCCTTGATGACAGTTTTCTTGTTCCCATGTCACTCCAGATTTTCCTGAAAGAACCAGGAGTCTGATGTACAACAAATTCCTCAGATTCAAAGGCACTGTGTACTTCTTCAGGGAAATTTAACATAGAATGTAGATTGATTGGCATCCACCTGGCATAACTGGGCCTGTTTGCAATAAAGAAGCATAGAACCACGGCATACTGTGAATGTAGGTGAAGTTTCCAATCACCCTCTCATTCTGCATGGACATTTAGAAGTAGTAGCTGCATAACCTGGAGCAAATGATCCCAGAAATTGAATGCAGGAGACTGAGTGACACAGTGTCTGGGACAGTTCACAACTGAAAGAGCCTATCTCAGGTCAGACTGTCAGAAAACAGGGTGGACACCCTCTTCTGGTGCTATATTCTATAACTAGACTTCAAACCAACAACAAGCATGCACTCCTGGATTACTACATTAGTCTTACCATGGAGCCACAGACAGTCCCCTTTTGTTTTCCAGCACATCTTGCCATCCAGAAAAGCTGGACTAAGCGATGAAAGTAAAACCAAAAATCACGATGCATTAGGTCATTCCTGACCCCAAAGGGCAAGTCACTTACCCCAGATCATGGATGCTCTTGCTCTCACACCAAAGACAACACTGAAGCCAATTTATCTAGTAAACTAGCTAAAGATTTATTAGTGAAAAAAAAGAAATGAGAGTTATTGAGAGGTTAAAGCAGGTAAAATACATTACAAGTGAATCATAATTTGTAAATCCAAATGATTAGCAGAGGTGTAGTAATCTGCTGGTTTTCTGTAAGTCTCTCAGGGTTACCGCAGATAGTTTTGGGGAATCTCTGTCTTACATCTGGAAGACCTCCTGAAGGTATCCAAACAGCCGAGAGATACAGAATCACTCCCAGAGTTAATTTTTATAGCTGGTTTCCCTGGAAAGCAATCTGCCAAGTACTCCCATCACAGCTGGAACTCTCCCTTGTTGACTAAACACAGACAAAAAGTTTGTGGATTTTCCATTGCTGAACACAATGATCCATGATTTGAAGTTAACATGCTTCTTCATTTATAGTTCCAAAGCTCCAATCCTGTTTGATGGGCAATTATACATAATGCCTTTAGTTACAGCCAATCTTTCATTAGTTTCATGAACAATGTGATAGCCAGAAACAATCCTTAATTAATTAGTTTTCATGCAGTTTACACATCAAACATATCCTCATCTTAGCACTAATACATACTTCTGCTCTAAGGCTAACTAAGTACAAGGATAACAATCACAGAAAACAGATAAGCAAATCAATACCACTACATTCCTTTGAACTATTCTAACATACAAGTGAATTGGTACACTTAACACGTCTTTGAGATTCACACCCAAGTGAATTGTTCTGAGACTCTGACCTGAGCTGGCCTATCAGTGTCACACTTAGGGAGTGTCTACACTTACCATTTAAAGAGCAAAAAGTCCCTTTTTTGCACTAAAACCGCAGGCACGTCTACACTTGTTAATGACTTTTTTCAGTGAAACTCAGAAGTTTCACCACAAAAAGAAAACCACCTTCACGAAAGGCATATAGCTCTTACGTCTGTTCTTTTTGCGCTGTTGTGAAAGTGAAGACATGTTCTACCAGTGTAAACTCCTTTTGGCCTCTGAAGGCTATCCCAAGTTCCAAAAGTGACTACTCTGGCTAGCATCTCGGCTGCTCTGACGCGAGGTAAACGGACGTCCGCCCCTCCCACTGTAAGCCCTGGGAAGTTTGAAACTCCCTTTCCCTTTGCTTGTAGATATGGCAGGGAAAGCAGGCAGACAGCAGGGGTTTTTTTAAAAAAAATGCCACAAAAGAAACAAGGAAGTAATAGGGCTGCTGGGACATGAAACAGGGCAGCACGGGGCACTGATCAGGGACCCAGAATGCCCTCCGCTCACTCCCCCCTTCCCACAAGACCTATCCAGAGAGCTGCACTGTGGGATAGCTGCCCTACAGCGCTGCTCTCATCAGCAATGGAAGTGCTGGTAGTGTAAACACTCTCTGATGCCTGAGGAATTGGGTGAGTACACAAGCCAGTGCTTTACAGTCACAAGTTCCCTATCACTGATGAAACTTACAGTGCAAAAGCTCTACAAGTGTAGACATACCCTTAGTATACATTCCCCGATGTCTGAAATTTCTCCAGTAGTGGTGGCATATACTGAGTTACAGCATCATCAAGCTCTTTAAAGACATGTTGTAAGGACTTGATGGCTTCAGACTCAAACACTTTTTGCATGTCAGTCAACATTTTCCAGACAAATGCTGGAACTAAAAGAGCACCTCCTCCCTGCTTAGGCCATTTAAAAAATAAATAACAGAGCACTCTGAACCTCAAATGAAGCCTCACAGAGCATGGGTGAATTGCTTACCAACAAGCATTTGATCTGGAGAACAAGCTGCATGACCATCAAAATCAACAAGAAGGTCTAGCAATCCTGCGTCTCCCCAAAATTTCCCAATATATGAAACAAAACAGCACAGTGTGAGGAAACCACCCCAGAGAATCACATTGCTACTAAGTTCATTTGGGAGAGTCCATTTCACTTGCTTAGAAACAGCATAGAGCTGCTGATCCATGGTCTGAACAGCATGCTTCTGCCCTAGAGTTGCTGACATTTCCTTACATTTCAACACTGTGTATAGACTGTGGCCATTTCAGCTCGTTTGGCATTCGCAGTAGGTGCATATGCAACTGCTGTGTAGGTGCTCTTCTTTGTCACAAGCTTCTGATTGAAACCAGTCCAAAATGGAGTCATCTGCATGTGAACAATACCAACATCATGTGATATTGGTAGGTAGTAGTCCCAAACAACCCCAGGAGAAATCTCAGACAATGTTCATTTGTAGGTGCCAAGTGTTTATTTTCTCAAATATGTTTTCATATTAAGTTGGTTCTGGATGTGTTTTAGGTTTTTCAAATGCTGCACGCTGCATAAGAGATGAGTAAGAGACTTTTCTCTCAGATGCTTCAGTGATATTTCCTGTGATGCTGGACTATCTGCAGACTGTTCTTGAAATACCACTCTAGTCAGGAAGGTTTTCTTTCCATCAGTTGTCTCTGTTGATGTCTACTGTGATGGGTTCAGTCACAGAGACCCCCTTGGGACTGTCACCTGACGTGCTGAAACTATCTCTGAGCCCGTTTTTTCCTGTCAGCTTGGGGCTTCCAGAACCCTGTCTTGTTGAGCCAGACACACAAGTCTGCTGCAACACAGACCCAGGGTTTGAACCATGTCCCCAAAGCTGCAGGCTTTAACTGAAAACTACTCAGCAGGTACTCCTGTCTCCAGCACCCAGACACCCAGCTCCCAATGGGATCAAAAGCCCAAATAAATCCATTTTACTCTGTATAAAGCTTATACAGGGTAAACTCATAAATTGTCCACTCTCTATTACACTGATAGAGAGATATGCACAGCTGTTTGCTCCCCCAGATATTAATCACTAACTCTGGGTTCAATAATAAACAAAAGTGATTTTTTTAAGAATAAAAAGTAGGATTTAAGTGGTTCCAAGTAATAGCAGACAGAACAAAGTAAGCCACCAAGTAAAATAAAGCAAAAACATGCAAGACTAAGCCTAATACATTTAAGAAACTGAATACAGTTAAGTCTCATCCTCAGAGATTTTCCAATAAGCTTCTTTTACAGACTAGACTCCTTCCTAATCTGGGCCCAATCCTTTCCCCGGTACAGACCTTGTTAGTTCCAGAAGGCATCTTAGGTGAAAAGCAGGGGATTCCACATGACTGGGAGCCCATTTGTTCTGTTCCACCTCCTTTAATAGCTTTGGCACAAGGCAGGAATCCTTCGTCTCTCTCTGGGTTCCCACCCTTCCTTCTAAATGGAAAAGCACCAGGTTAAAGATGGATTTCAGTTCAGGTGACATGATCATATGTCCTGTGAGACTTCATTACCCACTCACTGGCACACAGGTATACAGGAAGTCTTATGAGTAAACAGAGCCATTTACAACCATTTGTCCTGGAAAATGGGAGCCATCAAGATTTCAAATCACCATTAATGGCCCACATTTTGCATTTTTACAATAGGACTTCAGAGTTATATTTCATAGTCCTAGTTTTAGATACAGGAATGATACATTCATACAAATAGGATGACCTGTGGCGGTTTAGTGATGAGACAGAACACAGCTTTTTGCAAGCAAGCAGGCTGGTCAGCTGAGATGGGCGTTTCTGCCCCCCCCCCCCCCCCCTTCCACCTTCTCCTTTTATTATATTTCTCCCCCCTAAGCATTACACACTGCTACAAAGATACACAAAGGAATGTATGACGTTAATTCATATACTTAGTTACCATCCCTTATCTACTACAATCCTGGTTCTCAGGCCTTGAGCCCAGGCTAAGAAAGCCTCCCACAATTGCTGTCCAAACAATCAAGTTCTCATGGTTCATATCTAGCCCTTGTCCTTGGATAGAGCAATGTGTGCATTGCTTCTACGAAACAGTCAGGGTGTTCCCCGCCTGCTTCCAGGTGGAATAGCTAAACATTAACCCTTCATCTCCCCGTTTTTTATTTATTAATATTTGGCCATCTCATGGTAGCCGTCAATTTGTTTTGTCATGCTATTTAACTCCCAGACAGACAAGGACATAACCTGGGGAGCTTTCCAGGGCAAAATTTTACAAAATCTTAACAAGAAAAGAATACATTGTACACAGCAGCAGCAAAAAATAAGCCCAATGATTACAAACACAAAATAACCAAAAGCTCAACATCTGCAATATAATCATCTAAAAGGGGTACACTTCTTTTACTACAATTGTCACCAGCAAAAGGCAATATAAATATCATTCTACTAAAACAGCAAAGGGTGCCATCACTTACATTTGCAGGAATATAATTAAAGGTGCGTGAACCGCAAGTAAAAACCCATCCTGATGGTAGGATGATATGGCCATAATTATATGAAACATTAACAGCATGGGAACAATTTAAAAGAGGTTGAGAAATTTTTTAACAGCCTAAGGGCACCTTTATACTAGTACAATTAACTACACGCGCACAGGTAACATTTGCTATTGAAGCCAATCTTTCCCATATGTTATATGTCATTCGGGCTTATAACGGGGGAGGCGCTTTCGAGCCAACCCCTACAGGAAATAGCAGGCACAAAAGGCACACAATCATCACAGAATTAGCAGTGATTTGGGCGAGAATCGCCACAAACAAAGTCTCAGGAGTCTCTGGCTGTTGATCTGCTGCCAGCCTTCGTTGGGCCGCGGCGACCAATGCTTTTACTGCTCCCCATGTCACGGGCCGGTTTGGGACACTACGCCTCCTCCGTTTTCGTCCCGTCGTTGTCGACTCGGGGGGCAACGCGGTCTCCTCCAAGGTCAGCTGAAACTCTGGTATGGGATTCGACAGCCCCTGGTGCCATGCCATGTTGTTTAAGTGCCGGTCGCACACACCGAGCTGGAACCCATAACGGTCCTGCAGGGAGAGACACAGCAGCATATCCCCGACCCCAAGTGATTAGAGGTACTGGGCCCAGCCACTGTGGATCGGGCAGCTGACGGTAAAAGACACGCGGTCTTTCCAGTACCTCAGATTTGTGAAAATGCCGATCCGCAGGGGTCTGCTGATCTGCATTCAGTGTTAAATTATTTAAAGTAAACAAGAGGATATGCATTTGTTGTTAAATGTCTCCTAAGGTTCGGAGACGCAGCTCCCCTTGTTTTAATTGTTTATCTAGCAAGATTTTGAGTGTGCGATTGGCACGTTTAACAATGGCTTGGCCCGTGAAATTATAAGGGATTTCGTGTGTAAGACGGACGTCCCAGCGGGCACAAAAGGTGGAGAGGGCTGCAGAGCAGTAGGCTGGGGCATATCTATTTTAATTTGGCAGGGACGACCCATAACAAAAAGGCAGGCCAGCAAATGGTGAATAACTTTGTTAGTGGCTTCCCCACGTTGTGGGGAAGCCCCAAAAAAAACTTAAAGAAATATCAACGGAAACATGTAAAAACAAATAGGGGCGGAATTGTGGCACATGAGTAACATCCATCTGCCACAGCTGATTTGCTGCGGTACCTCGGGGGTTAACGGCATAAGAAAAGGTAGGAGCAGCAGCAGCACAGTGGGGGCAGGAACGAACAATGGAACGTGCATGATCAGCAGGAATGTGAAACTGCCGGGCCAAAACAGAGGCAGACTGATGAAAAAAGGCATGGCTTTCAATGGGGTCAGAAAAAAGGGAATTTACCTGACCACGCAACGCGCGATCGGCGCGTGCATTGCCCTCAGTGAGTGGCCCAGGCAGAGGGGTATGACTGCAAATATGAGCAACAAAATAAGGGAAATGACAAGTGGCAAAAAGGTGCTGCAAAAACAAAAACAGGCGAAGGAGGTCTGCATCAACCTGAGGGGTAATGAGGGCAAGGGGTAAATGATCAATTACCTAATAAACATAATAGGTATCCACAATTAAATTAAAGGGACAATCAGCAAAAGGTTGAAAGGCCAAAATAACAGCAGCTAATTCTGAGGGCAAAGGGGGATGGTAAAAAAAACAATATTTTAAATCTAACACACAAAGTTGATCGGTTTGAGGAATTAAATTTGGATTTGGCAAGCCAAATTGCAAGGGGCCCATAGGTTGGATGCGTTTATTTATTTCCCTTAAATCATGTAACAGCCGCCAAGCACCCGATTTTTTCTTAATAACGAACACCGGGGTGTTCCAGGGACTAGTGGAGCTCTCCAGTCGCTGTGCTTGCAAATGCTGCTGCACAAGCGAATGAAGTGCTTTTAGCTTTTTTAGAGGGAGGGGCCACTGATCAATCCATACGGGCTCTAAGGATTGCCATACCAAGGGTAAGGCGGAGGGCACGGTGGGTGAGGGAGGGTTTTGGGCCATCAGATGTTAATATCGAGGGTGGTGTCTAACTTTGTAAGTAAATCATGGCCCCAAATATTGAGGTGGACAGGGAGCACAAAAGGGCGGATAGTAGCAAGGGTACGGCCTCCCGGTTTAGAGACCGTGACCCAAGACAAACTTTGGCGCCCGGGTTTACTACCCCCGATCCCCCACAATTCTTTAGAAGGAACCGTAGGCCAACTAACCGGCCACTCCAGATCACGAATCACCGTAACGTCAGCTCCAGTGTCCACCAGCCCTGTAAAAGGAACATCATCTAAGAGAAGTGTTAACTGAGGCTTCAAGGGGCGGACTGACATTGTCAGAGCAACAAGTGGAGAAGACGCGCTGTGAGACGGCGAGTGAGACAACGTCGATCCAAAGCCGCCTCCGCCCCGAGTTCGATCCTCGGCAGCTGGCACCTGATAGGGGACTAAAATCAATTGTGCAATTGACCGTCCACGCGGGAGCGACTGTGGAAGATGAGTCCACACCTGAACCTTAATAATGCCAGTGTAATCAGCATCAATGACCCCTGGAATGACAAAAAAGCCCTGTTTCCCAGCATGTGAGCGAGGGAGAACAAGACCTACAAAGCCGGCAGGGAGAGGTCCCGTCACCTGTGTAGGTATGGCACAGACCTCCCCTGGCAGCCGAAAGTCAGTGTCCTCCTGCATGATCAAATCAAGCCCTGCACTTCCAGCAGTCGCCGCCCTCATAGAGTCTACGGATTCCAAGGCAGAGGAGCGATTGCCTGAGTAGGAAACACCCCCGTTTGGCCCTGGGTTCGGGGGGGACCCGTCGCGCGGTTTCCCGACCCGCTACGACACTGATTAGCCCAGTGATAACCTTTCCCACACTTGGGGCACTTCTTTGAGGGTCGGGCTGGTGCCTTAGATGAGCGGCACTCCCGCTGAAAATGACCCTCCTTACCACAGCGGTAACAACGCTTCCCCTCCTTCCCAGTTTTTCTGAGGGCGGCAGCCAGAACTCCAGCCTTGTGGGCTTGTGTGCCAATGTTCTGGCACGCCCGCAGCATGTCTGAGAGCTCTAAAATACCAGAGGCTTGCGCTGCCTGGAGAGCACGGTGGCAATCCTCGTTTGCATTTTCAACTGCCAATTTTAACAGGAGCTCGTGAGCTGCCTCAGTGTTATCCACCTGCCGGAGGATAGCCTCATGCAATCTGTTGGTAAAATCCAAAAAGGACTCTGAGGCACCCTGACGGATACTGACAAAGCTTTTGGTAGGCTTGCCTGAATCCGGGACCTTCTTGAAAGCATGCTGAGCACAGGTGGAAATAATGGGGAAGACGGCCTGAGGGAGTTGAGACTGCATCTGAATAGTAGCAAACGGGCCCTCCCCTGCCAATTGCTCATAAATGATACCGTGCGCTGCATGTACCTGAGCTTGGCGTTCTGCCATCTGCCGATACTCACTAAGCCAAATAACATACTGACTGGGTGACAACATCATGCGCAGCAGCGTTTTCCAATCCTCAGGGATTAGGGAGTACCCAGTACCCATCCCTTCAATGAGACCACGCACAAAGGTGCTAGTCAGGCCAAATTCACGAATTGCTTTCTTTACCTCTCTAACCACCGAGTATGGCAAAGTGGTCCAGGTGCCCACGGGGTTGCCCTGGTCATCATTCTGCCAGGTCACCGGGCAAACGGAGACCAGATCAGCCAGCTCCTCCGCTGTAAGATCTGATCGAGCTTTCGCTGTGTGAACCATTTGTTGCACCAGCGAAAGCTTCTGAGCAGATGCAGATGACCCTCCGGGGGGCCCCACGGGGGGAGGGTGATCACACACCGGCTCCGGTGGGGAAGGCCAGGGAGGCGGTGGTAATAGAGGCACTGGGGGCGAAGCAGGGGGAGGGATGGCTGCAGGAGTGAACGGGGGCGGCGGGATCGGCAGCCCCTCTGTTGGTGCTGGAGAGGGCCTTTCCGAGGCGACACGCTGTGTCGCATCGCCAGGAGGGGGGATGGCTGCAGGAGCAGACGGGGGCGGCGGGATCGGCAGCCCCTCTGTTGGTGCTGGAGAGGGCCTTTCCGAGGCGACACTCTGTGTCGCATCGCCAGGAGGGGGGATGGCTGCAGGAGCAGACGGGGGTGGTGAGATCACCAGCCTCGCGAGGGAGGGCCTGTCGGAGGCGACACGCTGTACCACATCGCGGCAGAGGTGCCAGGCATGTAAAGCCTGCACGGGCGCCCGAGGCTCTTTGTGCAATGTCTGGCCCAATCGCTCCCAGTCTGCTAGCTTAAGGCTTCCGGCTTCAGGATACCACGGGCACTTGGCACACACCTCCTGTAGCAGGAGAGTAAGTGCTCGAGCCGGGCAGTCATGCTGAGCCTTAGGCAGCAAATACTGCAGCTCATTGCGGTGTTGCACTTGCAAAGCAGAGAGGGAGCTTCCCATACTTACCACAATGAAAAATACTCACCGGGATCCGCGAAGCAGATGAGTGACGCGTCTGAAACCCTTGCCGGGCGAGGTGAGTGCTGAGGGCCCCACGTTTGGGCGCCAGTTGTGGCGGTTTAGTGATGAGACAGAACACAGCTTTTTGCAAGCAAGCAGGCTGGTCAGCTGAGATGGGCGTTCTGCCCCCCCCCCGCCTTCCACCTTCTCCTTTTATTATATTTCTCCCCCCTAAGCATTACACACTGCTACCCAAAAAGAAAAAGAATGTATGACGTTGATTCATATACTTAGTTACCATCCCCTTATCTACTACAATCCTGGTTCTCAGGCCTTGAGCCCAGGCTAAGAAAGCCTCCCACAATTGCTGTCCAAACAATCAGGTTCTCATGGTTCATATCTAGCCCTTGTCCTTGGATAGAGCAATGTGTGCATTGCTTCTACGAAACAGTCAGGGTGTGCCCCGCCTGCTTCCAGGTGGAATAGCTAAACATTAACCCTTCAATGACCACACTCAGTAGATTATAAATTTATAATGATACCTTACAAGAGACCTTTTGCATAAAGCATATTCCAGTTACATCATATCCATGCTTATAAACATATTTTTATAAAAATATGGAGTGCAACATCACATCTACATTATCATCTCCTTCATGGATGAGATTTCTGCCAGCACAAAGGAGTATAATTCCATTTGCAATGAACACACCTCCCTGGAGTCTTTTTTCTACTTCACTGTTTGCAGCAGTAGTGCTGAACCGCATCAGCTCATCATAATTGATGCAGAATCAGTGAAGGTGCAGTATGCCAATTAAACTGTGAGCCCCAAATCCATGGTATAGCTGTGCAGCACCGTGCCCCAGAAAAAAGATTCATGTGCACTGGTGTGAAAAATATGGAATTTTTAAATACTATACACTCTGCAACTGAGAGGCACCTTCTGTGAATGTCTTCTGAAGGATGGTAACTCATTGCTGCTTGAATTATATGCCTCTTTCAAGCAAAGGACAAACTCCAGCACCAACTGGGGCACAAAAGTAGCTGACCTCTACGATCACCTGGCTTTGGGTCATATTCTGAGGCTTTCTTTTTTGGCTATTTCAGACTGAAGGATTGACGCAGCATTATAAAAGACCATTTGTTTATTTGAAAGCTGTTCACCACACACAGTCACCTGAAGAACATCCACAAAACACGTGGATGACTTAAAATCCTGCTTCAGATTACTAGCAGCTTGGATCGCATCAGCTAATGTTGTTATGCTGCATAGAATAATGGTAGTCTTGCCTTGTTCACGCTGTGCATGAAATGAAATTGCAAAACCATAGTGTTTGTCATAAATATAAAGGGAAGGGTAAACCCCTTTAAAATCCCTCCTGGCCAGAGGAAAACTCCTCTCACCTGTAAAGGGTTAAGAAGCTAAAGGTAACCTCGCTGGCACCTGACCAAAATGACCAATGAGGAGACAAGATACTTTCAAAAGCTGGGAGGAGGGAGAGAAACAAAGGGTCTGTGGGTCCGTCTTTATGCTGCTTTTGCCGGGGATAGACCAGGAATGGAGTCTTAGAACTTTTGGTAAGTAATCTAGCTAGGTACGTGTTAGATTATGATTTCTTTAAATGGCTGAGAAAAGAATTGTGCTGAATAGAATAACTATTTCTGTCTGTGTATCTTTTTTGTAACTTAAGTTTTTGCCTAGAGGGATTCTCTATGTTTTGAATCTAATTACCCTGTAAGGTATCTACTATCCTGATTTTACAGAGGGGATTTCTTTACTTCTATTTACTTCTATTCTTTATTAAAAGTCTTCTTGTAAGAAAACTGAATGCTTTTTCATTGTTCTCAGATCCAAGGGTTTGGGTCTGTGGTCACCTATGCAAGTTGGTGAGGCTTTTTATCCAACATTTCCCAGGAAAGGGGGGGTGCAAGTGTTGGGAGGATTGTTCATTGTTCTTAAGATCCAAGGGTCTGGGTCTGTAGTCACCTAGGCAAATTGGTGAGGCTTTTTACCAAACCTTGTCTAGGAAGTGGGGTGCAAGGTTTTGGGAAGTATTTGGGGGGAAAGACGTTTCCAAACAGCTCTTCCCCAGTAACCAGTATTTGTTTGGTGGTGGTAGCGGCCAATCCAAGGGCAAAGGGTGGAATATTTTGTACCTTGGGGAAGTTTTGACCTAAGCTGGTAAAGATAAGCTTAGGAGGTTTTCATGCAGGTCCCCACATCTGTACCCTAGCGTTCAGAGTGGGGGAGGAACCTTGACAGTGTTTTTCTAATCTTGCCTGCAATTTGCTCATGGAATATCTATATATTGCAGTATCTATATCTGAGGGAAGTATGGCTTTGTAGCAGCTTGGACAGGATAAAATCCTTCGTGTTGTACATAAGATCACAATCTAACTCCTCAATCAGCTAATAAAATGCAATATCATAAGGTGTCTGTATTGTTGTAGTATAACTAGATGGCTTTGTTTTAAGATTTGTTTTATTCAAGTAGGAAAAAGGGTACTTTGAGTGACAAACTGCATTCTTAGAAATTAAGTCTTTTACAGATAATATGCACAACATGTCATCATCTCCTCTGTGAAGTGACTTCTCCTTTAGATTGGTTGCTCTCTCAAATGTTTCTAATTTATTAAGTTTCTTGCCTTTGTGTGTTTTTCTCAAGCAAACAATGCAACAGGACCAATCAGTGAAGGTGGCTATAGAAGAAGGTGAACATGATGCTCTCTGAGATTCAGCAGGGGACGGGAAGGGGTGGAGCGGGGTCAGGGCCTGTGGCAGAGCCAGGTGTTAAGCTATGAGCACCCGCTGGCACTTTGGAAAGTTGGCGCCTGTAGCTCCAGCCCCAGAGTCAGTGCCTATGCAAGGAGCCACATATTAACTTCTGAAGAGCCACATGTGGCTCCGGAGCCATAGGTTGGCCACCCCTGCTCCAGAAACTCATCCCTAAAGACCAACTAGTTGCTAAGGCCTCATTATAGGCATCTGGGGCACAGCAGACCTGGCCTCCTGATTTATGGCAGCAGCCATAGTGATGGACCACAAGTCCTAGTAACAGTCCTCTGGAATTCATAGATAGTCCAGAATGCAGTGGAGGATCTTCTGTTCGAGGGCCATAAGCTCTTCAACACCATCATGGATGCATCCCTCCACTCCTGAAAGGATTCCAGAGTGACTTTTCAATCTTTTGGAATCTGTACTCCTGCACCTAAAAGAAGTTACAGCAGATCATAAACAGCCCACGGGTTCCACCCAGTCCAGTTCCCAACATATCACAGGGCTGAAGAACCACATAAGAAAAGACCTAGATTCCAAAGGAATAGACAATCAGCTTCTACATCTGTGACTACCCAGCCATCAACCTCCACTAACTGGCCATTTTAATATGTCAGATGAGAGCTACAAGTCACTCTGCCACTTGAATCTTATGATGTTTCATCTTTCGACTTCCCACCACCTGGGGACTGTCTTTCCTCAAACACTCATGGGAATAATTGCTAAAGATGGATGGGTGCTAGAAGTCATCACATCAGACTACGCCATTCACTTCAGTTCCATCCCTCTCCATCACCCATCTCTTTTCAGGGACCCATTTCACGAAGATCTCTTAGGTCAAGAAGGAGAATCTCTCCTGCAACTGGGTGCTGTGGAAGCAGTTCCCTCTTACATAGGGCAAGGGCTCCACTCCAGATACTTTCTAGTATCCAAGAAGAAAAGCGGGATTGTGATGGGGTGTACCAGGCCTTTTGAGGCCCTCTGGAAGGCCCAACTGTCCTACTACACCCTGCCCCAGAAAAAAGGGAAGTAGAGCTGGGTCCTCCAAACTGCCTAGAAAGGCTGCAGGGTAAGCAACCAATCAGAGCCTAGAAGGCTCATATAAAAGGAGTTGCAGGGCCTGGACAGCTCAGATGCTGGCTGAAGCCAAAGGAAAATATATGGTGTTCCTAGCTGGTTGAGGAAGCTTCAGCAGCTGGACAGAACAACTGCTGGCTGGGATGAGGAAGGCTGAGAGACTCCATTGGCAAAAAGAAAAGGAGTACTTGTGACACCTAAGAGACAAACAAATTTATTTGAGCATAAGCTTTCGTGAGCTACAGCTCACTTCATCGGATGCATGTAGTGGAAAATACAGTGGGGAGATTTTATATACACAGAGAACATGAAACAAAGGGTGTTACCATACACACTGTAACAAGAGTGATCAGGTAAGGTGAGCTATTACCAGCAGGAGATCGGGGGCGGGGGGAATCTTTTGTACTGATAATCAAGGTGGGCCATTTCCAGCAGTTGACAAGAATGTGTGAGGAACAGTAGGGGTGGGGAGGGGGGAATAAACATGGGGAAATAGTTCTACTTTGTGTAATGACACATCCACTCCCAGTCTTTATTCAAGCTTAAGTTAGTGGTGTCCAGTTTGCAAATTAATTCCAATTCAGCAGTCTCTCGTTGGAGTCTGATTTTGAAGTTTTTTTTGTTGAATTGCCACTTTTAGGTCTGTAATCGAGTGACCAGAGAGATTGAAGTATTCTCCAACTGGTTTTTGAATGTTATAATTCTTGACATCTGATTTGTGTCCATTTAGTCTTTTACGTAGAGACTATCCAGTTTGGCCAATGTACATGGCAGAGGGGCATTGCTGGCACATGATGGCATATATCACATTGGTAAATGTGCAGGTGAACAAGCCTCTCATAGAGTGGCTGATGTGATTAGGCCCTATGATGGTGTCCCCTGAATAGATATGTGGACATAGCTGGTAACGGCCTTTGTTGCAAGTATATTGTCAAGGTTCCTTCCCCACTCTGAACTCTAGGGTACAGATGTGGGGACCTGCATGAAAACCTCCTAAGCTTACTTTTACCAGCTTAGGTTAAAACTTCCCCAAGGTACAAACTATTTTACCTTTTGCCCTTGGACTTTCGCTGCCACCACCAAACGTCTAACCGTTTTTTTTTATTAGGAAAGAGCCCATTTGGAAACGTCTTTCCCCCCAAAATCCTCACCAAAATCTTGCACCCCCTTTCCTGGGGAAGGTTAGATAAAAATCCTCACCAATTTGCATAGGTGACCACAGACCCAAACCCTTGGATCTTAAGAATAATGAAAAAGCATTCAGTTTCTTAAAAGAAGAATTTTAATAGAAGAAAAAGTAAAAAGAATCACCTCTGTAAAATCAGGATTGTAAATACCTTACAGGGTAATTAGATTCAAAACATAGAGAATCCCTCTAGCCAAAACCTTAAGTTACAAAAAGACACAAAGACAGGAATATCCATCCCATTCAGTACAGCTTATTTTCTCAGCCATTTAAAGAAATCATAATCTAACGCATATCTAGCTAGATTACTTACTAAGTTCTAAGACTCCATTCCTGTTCTGTCCCCGGCCAAAGCATCACACAGACAGACACAGACCCTTTGTTTCTCCCCGGCGCCAGCTTTGAAAGTATCTCGTCTCCTCATTGGTCATTGTGGTCAGGTGCCAGTGAGGTTATCCTAGCTTCTTAACCCTTTACAGGTGAAAAGGTTTTTCCTCTGGCCAGGAGGTATTTTAAAGCTGTTTACCCTTCCCTTTATATTTATGACAGATAGGTTTCTGGGTTAGTGTTTTTGGTGTGCGGTTGCTGGTGAGTATTTGCTTCAGGTTGGGGGGCTGTCTGTAAGCAAGGACTGGCCTGTCTCCCAAGATCTGTGAGAGTGATGGATCATCCTTCAGGATAGGTTGTAGATCCTTGATGATGCATTGGAGAGGTTTTAGTTGGGGGCTGAAGGTGATGGCTAGTGGCGTTCTGTTATTTTTTTTTTTGTTGGGCCTGTCCTGTAATAGGTAACTTCTGGGTACTCTTCTGGCTCTGTCAATCTGTTTCTTCACTTCAGCAGGTGAGTACTGTAGTTGTAAGAATGCTTGATAGAGATCTTGTAGGTGTTTGTCTCTGTCTGAGGGGTTGGAGCGAATGCAGTTGTATCGTAGAGCTTGGCTGTAGACATTGGATCATGTGGTGTGGTCTGGATGAAAGCTGGAGGCATGTAGGTAAGTATAGCGGTCAGTAGGTTTCTGGTATATGGTGGTGTTTATGTGACCATCGCTTATGAGCACCGTAGTGTCCAGGAAGTGAATCTCTTGTGTGGACTGGTCCAGGTTGAGGTTGATGGTGGGATGGAAATTGTTGAAATCATGGTGGAATTCCTCAAGGGCTTCTTTTCCGTGGGTCAAGATGATGAAGATGTCATCAATGTAGCGCAAGTAGAGTAGGGGCATTAGGGGACGAGAGCTGAGGAAGCGTTGTTCTAAGTCAGCCATAAAAATGTTGGCATACTGTGGGGCCATGCGGGTACCCATAGCAGTGCCGCTGGTTTGAAGGTATACATTGTCCCCAAATGTGAAATAGTTATGGGTGAGGACAAAGTCACAAAGTTCAGCCACCAGGTTTTCTGTGACATTATCGGGGATACTATTCCTTACGGTTTGTAGTCCATCTTTGTGTGGAATGTTGGTGTAGAGGGCTCCTACATCCATAGTGGCCAGGATGGTGTTTTCAGGAAGATCACCGATGGATTGTAGTTTCCTCAGGAAGTCAGTGGTGTCTCGAAGATAGCTGGGAGGGCTGGTAGCCTAGGGCCTGAGAAGTGAGTCTACATAGCCAGACAATCCTGCTGTCAGGGTGCCAATGCCTGAGATGATGGGGCATCCATGATTTCCAGGTTTATGGATCTTGGGTACCAGATAGAATACCCCTGGTCGGGGTTCTACGGGTGTGTCTGTGCAGATTTGTTCTTGTGCTTTTTCAGGGAGTTTCTTGAGCAGATAGTGTAGTTTCTTTTCTTTTTGCAAACACAGACTAACACGGCTGCTACTCTGAAACCCGTCCATTGGCAAAAAGGCTGGGAAGAAACAGCTCAAGCAGGGATAAGTGAAGATCTCCAGGCACAGAGGCCTGGGAGAGAGATCCATGACAAGAAGGGTCAGAGACTGTTATAACTTGGTGAAGGGGTCTGAGGGAAAGAACCCCTGAGAGAACAGGACAGACTGTTAGACTCTCTAGACAAGGAGGCCTGGACAGACCCTGATTAAACAGGTAACAGGCCAAAGACCCAAGAAGCTGAGGGGACACAGTGGGAAGCATCCCAGGGAATGCAACAAATAGACATTAGAGAAGGAAGCAGCATGTAGCTGCTAGTTGCAGGGTTCCTAGGTTGGAACCTGGAGTAGTGGGTGGGCCTGGGTCCCCCCACCGGTCACAGGCAGAGTGGCCAAAGGCCAAGAAGGTGACAAGTTTTGTTTGGAACCCAAGAAGGGGACAAGTTTTGTTTGGAACTTGAGAAAGGAACTAGTGCTTAAACAGGCCCAGAGACGAGACTCTGGACCTTGGGGAGGGCTGACTGTTTGTTGGACAGTGTTTTGTTTTTTCACATACAGACTATGAGTGACTCAGCCCGACGGCTGAGTCACTGAAGACCTACTGCAAAGCAGAGAGTGCCGGCATGCCCCCAGCCAGCAGGAGATGCTTGTGAGGGGCCAGTGGCCACACCATTACAGGGATGGAGACTAATCTTGGACCTCAAAACACTGAACACATTTATTCAGACAGAGGTTCAGAATGGTAACCTAAGCAGCAATAATACCATCTCTAGATCCAGAGGACTGGTTTGTGGCCCTCGACCTCCATAATGCATACTTTCATGTCGCAATTTATCAGCTCTCAGACGCTTTCTTTAGTTTGTGGTCAGCCACAAACATTATCAGTATTGGACACTTCAGCCCTTTGACTGCCCCAATGGTCTTCACAAAGGTTTTTGGTGGTGGTGGTGTCGCAGTTCAATAACGAGCAGGTCATTTTTCTACCTGTCTTCTTCCTAAAACCACACAAGACCTTTGAGGAATGTTGGCTTCATATGTTAGATGGGCCCTCACCTTTTATAGTGAAAGAACTAAGCCCTTTCACAAGTCCACCCAACTCTTTGTAGCAGAAGCAGAAAGGATGAGAGGGCTCCCTGTGCCACCCCAAAGAACTTCATCCTGGATAACCACCTGTATCCGAGCTTGCTACGAGCAGGTGAATGTTCCACCTCCTGGACATGATGACTGCTCATTCCACAGGAGCCCAGGCTTCATCAGCAGGATTCCTTGAGCAGGTACTGATTCAGAATATCTGCAGGGCTGCAACCTGGTCATCACATCCCACTACACCATCATCCAACAGGCCCAAGATGACACCAGTTTCAGAAGAGCAGTGTTATTGTCAGCACATCCATGAACTCCAAGCCCTCCTTTGAGAGTACTGCTTGTGAGTTACCCAGCATGGAATGTATAGGGCAAGCACTCAAAGAAGAAAAACGGATTACTAACTTTTCATAACTGTTGTTGTTCGAGATGCGTTGCTCATGTCCATTCCATGACCCACCCTCCTACCCCTCTGTTGGAGTTACCAGCAAGAAGGAACTGAGAGGGTGCGGGGCTATCGGCACCCCTTATACTAGTATATATGTGTGTGACTCCAGACAGCACTAGAGCCGGACCTACAGATACCACTAAGGGAAAAATCTCTGGCAACAGCGTGTACACACCTAACATGGAATGGACGTGAGCAACATATCTCAAAGAACAACAGTTACAAAAGGTTAATAACCATTTTTTAAGATTGCTGTCAGTATCCTGATCACCATGCGCAAAACATATCACTTACGCCATTCCAACAATATGACATTACAGTATTTGACTTTGTATACCTGTGCTAAGGGATTTATGTTTATGTTTTTAGTTTAAGTTTAGATTGTGTTAGAAATGATTGGGTACACTAAATAAAGAAAACACTTTGTTTTGGAAAAGTATTATCTGAGTGTCAATCCTTTGAGCGGAAGGGTATATCCATGTTCTCCCAGGGGTGAACAGTTCTAGTCTGTTCTGCGGCATTTCCTGAAGGGCATAGGGAGATCCTTGGTAAATGCTGGCAATTTCTCTAAGGCAGGCCCACTTTCACCTTGCAGGAATAGATTAATAGGTAACAATTTGGGAACCCAGAAGTAAGCAACAGAAAAGCTACTCTGGGACCCCAGAGTCTGTTCCTGGGGTAACAGTACCATCTTTAGGGAGTGTGTTTATATCACAACTTGTGTTGGGATGTTCCGGTACTGCTCCTCTGGAACGTGTTTATATGAATACCTAGTGCCTAGTACTTCTTAGGAATGTCTGTGTTTTAGCAATGCCAGCTATATTCTTGACAACTTCATGTACTGGCCAGTGAGCTTGTAAGCAGGCTTTTGCTTTATAGCAGGACCTGACTTTTGCTCATGGCCTGATTTTTGTTGACTTTAGTTCAGGCTTCAGGCCTTTTACCAGGCCCCATGCTTCAGGCCCTCTCTTTCTACTACATTACCCAAAAGGAGTATTTAGAATGTAACCTGGAAAATGCTGGAATCATACCAAGTTCAAGACATTTATGGAAACTCTATTTGCCAAGAGTATATAAAAATCAAGTAAACAAAATTAAAGAACAGCTGAAATCTTGTGACAGGATTGGCATTGATACTGGAGAGATCTTAGAATCAGATGACAAATATGTTCTCAACACATTGGCTATTTTAAGAAAACCAGAAGATGAATGTGAATTGAAGTTAAACATGATTCTGTTGAAGTGTGTGGTTTTGAACTTTAACACTATTAGTAAAGCAAGATGGGAAACACTAGATAGATATGGGGTTTCCTTTGACCAGATTACTGCTTTTGTGTCATGCAATGTGACATATATGAAAAAGGCCAGGGAGCAGAGCATGAAGCCTTTGTTTCTAACTGCTGTGCATGTGACATGTGACTGTTAAACTGAGTTGATGACATGGCATGAAAAGCTTGAAAACATAAATTACCTGGTTGCCATAGTGAAATGGGCATTTACAACTGGCCCAGCACATAAAGCTCACTTCTGTGCGCTATTCCCCCCATTCTAGTAATAAGGCACTGACAGAGCTGGTTTAACACTCCTGGGTTGCACTTAGCCCACACAGAGTAATATCTTTCATTTTATGAAGGAGAGAGGGATCACTCAAGCCATTTGTGCAATGTAGATGTCATTGAAGCTGGGAATGGGCAACGCGGCCTGGATCACTTGATGATGACCTTTTCTGTTCATTCCCTCTGGGGCAACTGGCATTGGCCACTGTCGGAAGACAGGATACTGGACTAGATGGACCTTTGGTCTGACCCAGTATGGCCGTTCTTATGTTCTTATGATTTGTGTCAATCTCCAGAAGTCCTTGAACAGCTGAACATCTTAAGGAAATATGCACCTCCTACCAGGCATGCCTTAACAAAATATGACGAATCTGTGATACCTTCACATATTGTGACCAATGACACACTTGATCTCATAATGTGGGCAAATAACAGTGTTGACAAATGTGAGTATGCAATGAGCAGAGAAGCACGCCTTAACCAAACTGAAAAAATTGAAACATACACACACTACAATTCTGCTTCCAGATTTGTCAACTTGCAGTAGCATTTTTCAACTTGACCCAAACCAAGTGGGTATTTAACCCAAATCCAGCAAAATATGTCATCGTACCCAAGAAAGAAGTGTACTAGACTATTCCACTTCTTGAAGATAACAATGTAGCACAGTGTGAATACCCAGTCCATTGCATCAAAACTCATTATGCATGGAAGAAAGTTTACCAATGTTGGAGAAACCTGAAAACAAGCTTCCCACCATTTGTTTCAGAGTGGTAGCTGTGTTAGTCTGTATCAGCAAAAAGACGAGGAATACTTGTGGCACCTTAGTGACTAACAAATTTATTTGGGCATAAGCTTTCGTGGGCTAAAATCCACTTCATTGGATGCATGCAGTGGAAAATACAGTAGGAAGATATATACAGAGAACATGAAAATATGGGTGTTGCCATACCAACCCTAATGAGACTGATCAATTAAGGTGGGCTATTATCAGCAAGAGGAAAACTTTTGTAGTGATAATCAGGATGGCCCATTTCAAACAGTTGACCAGAAGGTGTGAGTAACAGTAGGGGGAAAATTAGCATGGGGAAATAGTTTTTAGTTTGTGTAATAACTCATCCACTCCCAGTCTTTATTCAAGCCTAATTTAATGGTGTCCACCTTGCAAATTAATTCCAGTTCTGCAGTTTCTCGTTGGAGTCTGTTTTTGAAGTTTTTTTTGTTGAAGAATTGCCACTTTTAGGTCTGTAATTGAGTGTCCAGGGAGATTGAAATGTTCTCCAACTGGTTTTTGAATGTTATAATTCTTTTCATTTGATTTGTGTCCATTTTATTCTTTTGCATAGAGACTGTCCAGTTTGGCCAATGTACATGGCAGAGGGGCATTGCTATATGTAGTGCCAGGTCACCCATATCTCTTTGTGGGGTAGGGGGTGTCCAAGGAAGGATAGACCTGGGATCATAGAATTATAGAATATCAGGGCTGGAAGGGACCTCAGGAGGTCATCTAGTCCAATCCCCTGCTCAAAGCAGGACCACTCCCCAATTTTTGCTCCAGATCCCATAATGGCCCCCTCAAGGATTGAACTCACAACCCTGGGTTTAGCAGGGCAATCCTCAAACCACTGAGCTATCCCTCCTCCTGCCACACTTGCCCCTGAGCACTGAGATTTGCATCCCCCTGCTTCAGTATCTACGGCCTTCTGATGAATCCATCGCATCCTGAGGATGCCTGCTGGACCCTTAGCAGGTTATGGGAGTGAGGTGCAGCCCAGGGCCACTCACCCGCTCCTCGTCATCTTCATCCACCTCTATGAAGCTTGGACCCTCACTATCCTCAGACTCAGACCCTGAATCCATTCCCTGAACCTCCTCTATGAGGCGTTCTGGATCCCAGCCAGGAAGAAGGCACTTTTCCAACTCAACAGCATCTGCAAAATGAACTGTCCACATCAAACTCCTACCCAGCTGCTCCCCTCAACTTGTAACTCTCCTCCTGCACCTGCTGCAGGCCATTTGTCCTCACCTCATCTCCATTCCTGCAGAGATTGAGCACATCCTCTCCTACAGGACTGCGCTCCCCCACAATTCCCTGGGAAAGCTGCCCAAATGAGCCCACGCCCACCTCTGAGGCCACCACTCTCAGTGCCTCCATTAGGGCAGGGCTGGATCCCTCCTGTGCCTGAGGAAGGGAACCCCTACTCCTGCCGCCTTCCCCCAAGTTGGGGGGAAGGGACTGGGCATTCTGTCTGGCTCCCTTTGAGCAGCTCCTGGAGTGGGCACCTGCAGGCCATATCCTTGGCCATACCCCCATGAGCCCTTCCACCTCTCCTCCCCCCATCCCAGAAGCCAGAAGTGATGGGGGATATGGCAGGACACAAGAAGCAGGACACTCCTGCAGCCCCTCCTCCAGTGCGCAGGGTGGGGTGGGGGCCGAAGCAGCAGATCCAGTTCTATCAGGGCTGCCCAGGGACCAAGGCTCCCCCAGCCACCCTAGGGGCACCACGTGACCCCGTCACCCTCCCCAGTGAATAGTGAGAGGGGAGGGGACCAAAGCAACAGACTCAGGGACACCCAGGGACCCAGGATCTCTCCCTACCATCAGAGATACACCACATGACCCCTGGGCTCCCCACCTGGTGGCTGTGGTAGGTAGAACCTGATCCCACAGGTCTGGCACCAGAAGGACTGCCTGGGCAGAGAGCCAGGGCCTTTCCCAGCCACCACAGCAGTACCATGTAATATGCAGCCCCTTTTCCCTTGAGTAGGGGGAGTGGGGAGGGCTGCGGGAAGAAACCCAATTCTGGCAGGGACACGCCCAGCTGCTGTAGCAGCATCACTGTGGCCCCTGGCCTTCCTCGCCACAAGCAGTAGGGGGGCGTTGTTTGCAGGCCCAACCTGGGCTGCACCTTTTCAGAACCCAACAGCCCCAGTGGCTTCCCCACAGCTGTAGACAGGCTTCTGAAGAACTGGCCTTCAGTGAAGTTGTACTTTATTCAACAGGGGGAAGAAGGCTGTCCAGCACTTAGCTGGAATTTTGTGAAATCTCAAGAAGATGGGTTAAATCTCAACACAAATCTCAGTGTCCATGAGTGTTACTGTGTGTGTGTGTGTGTGTGTGTGTGTGTGCGTGTGTGTGTGTGTGAGCAGAGCTAAATGAATGTATTTCAACCTGCAATCCTGAAAATGGAGCGTGACAACACACAGTCCATCGAGATCTTCAGTGTACTAAACGAAGTGCCACACAATCTAAAGTCTCACATTTCAGAAAAGTTTTGACTTCTTCAAAGTTAACCAAGCACTGAAGAATCTGCCACCAAGCAATCAAAAGGCATTCAAATGAAATACTTCTACCAAAGAAGCAGAGTATTTGGAGAAGCGGTTTAATTTTGGACCAGAGTCATATCTATAGAAAATTGCCATTCTCAGCTTGAAGGCTAAATCCACATTCATGTTTGAGAATCTATGTGAGATTCCAAGAATTTTTGATGTACACATAGGTGGTGAACAACTTTTCAGAGAATACTGCATCTTGAAAGAAGCACTTCTAAAGGTTGATCCCAGTGATGAACTCTCAGTGGACCAGAAACGGGTGAAATTTTTTGACAAATGTGATGCACCAAACCTTTTGAAAATTGTAGAATGTGCTTTTGCAATTCCAGTCAGCAGTGCATTTGTGGGGTGAGTGTTCAGTATTATGCAAAAACTTTGGAACGATGAAAAAAATCGGATGTCTTCACACCTGGTCAAGTCTGAAATTTGCATCAAGTTCAACTTCATTGTGT